GCGGGATTATGCAAATATTTCCACATAGTGGGGTAGATATGTGGGGGCGTGTTAGAATGAGCCGTTTTAGGGGGGCGTGGCAGAGTCTTAACTTTGATAAAGAATATCTCTTTGGTTTTGAGACTTTAGTCTTTGCAAATTCAGGGATCTTATCTATGCACAATCAGCTTGTAACACTCCAAAGAGAAAGGAAAACTTGAAATCGCATCATATGACCCCTTTAAGTAAAACAAAAATATATTGTATATAAAAATATACTTTGTAAATATTTAAGTTCATAATTTTATAATATTAAATGTGTATATGTTTATATACACAAACACACGAAATTGTATATTAATAAATAATGTAAATTCAGTTATGTAACTAAAATGTATATTTAACATATTTCCACTCAAATATTTTTTATAATTTATAATCTAAATATATTAATATCAGTTTTATCAAATGTATAATAAAATATATATTAAAGGGTTAGTTCACCCAAAAATGAACTTCTGTCATTAATTACTCACCCTCGTGTTGTTCGAAACCCGTAAGACCTTCGTTCATCTTCGGAACACAAATTAAGATATTTTTGATGAAATCTGAGGGCTCTCTGACCCTCCCATAGACAGCAAGGTAACTACCACGTTCAAGGTCCAGAAAAGTACCAAGATGATCGACAAAGTAGTCCGTGTGACATCAGTGGTTCAACTGTAAAGTTACGAAGCTACGAGAATACTTTTTTGCGCAAAGAAAACAAAAATAACGACTTTATTCCACATTTTCGTCTCTACTGCGTCACTTTGGACACGCGTTCATGACAGTATTATGTCATTACGCCGGATCTGGGTCAGCGCCGCCACACTGATGTACACACACTCATCACTGATGTACACACACTCAGCGCCGCCACACACTCATCTTGGTACTTTTCTGGACCTTGAACGTGGTAATTACCTTGCTGTCTATGGGAGGGTCAGAGAGCCCTCAGATTTAATCAAAAATATCTTAAATTGTGTTCCGAAGATGAACGAAGTTCTTACGGGTTTCGAACAACACGAGGGTGAGTAATTAATTTTCATTTTTGGGTGAACTAACCCTTTAAATAAGTATGTATATACATATGGAATATACAGAATTTTCTGTGGATCCCTTCTCACTCCCTTGCAGCCCCTGACACGTGTTTGAAACCTCTGCTTTAATGCAAGTGTGTCAGTTGAGCTTCCTCAGAGATTTTCATATAGCAGTGCGTGTTTGGACCTGTTGAGCTGCGTGTTTAAAGAAGCCTGAACTTAAATAACCGGTCGGTTTTCCCTCTGAACACAGGTTGACCCCCTCCAGCCACAGAGGCATGGAGGAACGCCCGGCGTACGGGAGCATGCCGCGACTCAACGAGCAGCTCTCCCGTCACAGCAGCCTTCACTGCCTCGACAGCCAGTCCAGACACGGCAGCGCCCGAGACCTGAGCAACGCACCGGCCGCTAGCATCACGCACGGATCCAGTATGAACTGCGTGGTGGAGGACGACGGGACAAGTGCGTAACCCAGAGACTAGCCTCCTCATACTGAAACGAGAGGCGTAGGAGAGTCCCTGTTCCGGAGCCGCTAATGGACAGACATGCGTATTTGGCAGCAGAAGGGGAATCAGAAACTCGATGCATGTGTGTTGACAGGGCTGTCCTCAGGATTTGTCCCATTAGTGGCGCACCTGAGTAACAAGAGATGTTTTCTTTGATACTGTGAAGATCTGCTGGATGAAGTTTACTGCATGTGATAAAGCAGCGTCAGGACGGGCCGCAGCTGTCCGATGGGAGATTTTTTCCCATTACATCCATCACACAACCCAGTTTAAAGAGTTAAAGGATCACCGACGCTTAAAGATTGATGACTGTCCCATTAGAGATCAGATTTCAATCCCTCTAAAGCCGAAGGATGGTTCAAAGAGAGGGAGGATCAGCAGTTCTGTGCCTCTGGCAAGCTATATTTCGTTTCTGGTGGTAGTTTGGTTGAGAAGGCATGGATAAATGACGTACCAGAATCCTCACCAACACCTGATGTGCTTTTGTTCGGCCGCTTGACGGCTGCCTACCTCATCACATCGTATCGCTCTGACCTGTATTTCCTTCCCACACTCGTGTCGCATTACAGAGCTAAAATGGGCTGCAAATGTTGACTTTCAGAAAATCTTGCACGTCGATGCTTTTCCGCCCATGTGTACAGGAGTCTTACGCTTTGTAAATGGTGCTTCTTATGTTGCTTCATGAATATTTCAGCAGGCCATTTCTACATGTGCTCTACTCTGGCCAGAGCTCGTACACAAAACGCCTAGCATGTTGAATTTTCATGAATCGTGCTCTGCTTCACGACCCGCTTTAAGAGTGAAGTTGAGTGTTTTTGTTTACATGTTGGATGAGATTGGTACTCAGTGCCTAAACATGTGACTTTGGACCTGAGCTTTGTAAAAGCTGTTTTTCTGATCGCTGTTACTGCTTCTGCTGTACCTTTGCCTTCGGTTTCCCGAGTACACTTGATTTTCATGCTCTATTCTTCTGTCCACTTTTCTAATGAGGAACGATATAGCACTTTAACCGTGGCTATCTGTTGAATGTGTAGACATTAAATCCATTCATAGTGTCATGCAAGATTTCAAATAAAGCTTTTGTTAAAAAAAAAAAAAAGTGTTTTGTAGTTCCCAATTTTATTGAAATAGTCCGATAATGAGCTTTCCATGTGAAAAGTGGTGTCCAAACCAATACAACAGTATTCCACCTTAAACACACTTGTGCAAAAAAAAAAGAAATAAGAAAAAGGTCTACATTGCAGTATGGGGTAATTCATGTTCATGTCCCAACCATTCACGCCACACAGGTCAATAAAATACAATAAAAATACAACAAAACAATCCAGCCTTAAAACAAGTGATTACACCTATGACATGCAAATCTGTACACAGTCTTACAAAAATCAAAATCAAGAAGAAATTATATGATATGAAGTAGCAATTCACCAACAAGGCAAACAAAATCCACATGTGAAATGCAAGTGTGAATGTGTCTTTTAACAAAAAACTCCAGTCATCATCTCTCATTCTAGTCCATTCTACCTACACTGACCAGTTTACACTGATCTAAGAAAACTAAGGCACCTCCCTCATATTGATCTATTCATTGCTAAGTAACAGTTCTAAAGATCAAACGACCGAAATATCTGGACGTCTGTCATTTCTACCATCTCGATTCCTCCATTCAAACATATAATCATAATCCGACATACCTGAGAACATTTCAAACATGTTTCCTGTTCATGTTAATACCATAACCCTGGCAAATTGTTTCTAACCCGTTACAGCCTTATTAGAAAAAAACTATATTATGAATATTAATTTCTGTTTGGAAATAACCATGAGCATGGAATAGAGCAAATGCATAACTAAGGTCCAGAGTGACAACTGAGCTCTCGATTTTAAAACAATGCGCTGAGTTTGCTGGACTGAGTTTGCTCCACAGTGAAGGTTTCAATAGTGCTTGCATATAATGGAACATACTAAATGCTGACAATACTAGAATGAATAAAACCACAGGTACATATGCACAAACTTTCATTAATTCTGTCCTTGGGTGTGCTTCAATACTGAAAGGTCATTCGTTTTTCAGCATTCTTTAAAAGAATAATTCACTCAAAAAACAAACAAAAAATTCTGCCATTGTTCTAAACCCATATCATTTACTCCTTTTATCATTATATTGAGTAACAATGTTTTTAATTTCAGCAATTTTAATTTAACATAATATGTATGTGTGTGCGCACTGTGCACAACATATATATATATATATACATATATATATATATATAT